TTTTAAACAAATGTATAATTAGTATAATTCTTATTATACTAACTCATATATTTACTGTAATAATTAGAATATTACACTCATTATACAGGAGTAATACTGAAACTGGGTAATTAGTGGAGAGTCGGATGGTGGGCTTTTTGCAAATAGTGTACTAGGTTTATGAGAAACCAATTCTTGAGCTGAAGATAAAAAGGCAAAGAAGCAATCACTAGTACCAGAAAGAGAACTGCTTGGAAAGGGTTACCTGATAGGAGTGATATTTACAAAGAGGAAGCAACCAAACCTGTGCTCACCTGGCAGGGAGCAAGCCAGGGACATAAATACAGCGACTTCCCTCTTCATCTTGACCTCCAGATCTTCTGCTGGTCACTCTATCTGGAGAAGTCTAACCAGAAGCAGAAGATACATGAGCCTCTGATGCAGTCCAAATGCGTCAGCCTCAAAGGGCAGATAAAAGGGTAGGGAAGGCTGGAGAGGCAGCACAGGCAGTAAATGGTGGATACCCATCACTCCACTGTAGGTGGCCAGTCCACAACAGGAGCCTGCAGCATGCAGGTGGCAATGCATGATGTGACTGACTGAATTTTACCCGGAGAAGAAGAACGGAACTTGGCATTTTGGAAAAAGGAAAATTTACAAACATTTGGAAGTAGGAGGAATCATAGTGCTTTGTGGGAACTATAAGTAGTTTCATGTAGTTTAAACATAGGTGAAAAGAGAATGATCTCAGGTGGTGCTAAAGAAGTGAGTAAGGGCCAGATCATAACAGCACTGATCTAGGAGTGTTTATGTTATTTAGCATTCTTGGGGAGTTAGTCAAATATTTTTTAAAATAAATATTTGTATGTGAAGATTTCAGTATAAAAATAGACAAAATAATACAACAAACTGCCAAGTATCATCACTCAACTTTTATAATTTTCGATTTACAGACAACCTTATATTTGTCCCACTTACAGCCTCTTCCATTATATTATTCTGGAGCAAATCCTAGACATTTCATGCATATAATATATGTCATATAGACATCATATGCATAGCATATATATCATTTTATTCATCAATAGTTTGGAATGGACTTTTAAAAGATATTTTCTGTTATAAACACAACCACAATAACATATTATTAAAAAAAATGAAAATAATAGTACTTGAATATCACTAAATATTTACTCAGAGCTTGAATTTCCAATTGTCTCACAAAAGTGATTTATTTTCTTATGCAGTTTCTTTGAGTCAAAATCCAAATAAAATTCACTCATCGTGATTGGTTGATATGACTTTAAACTCTCCTTAGTTTCCCCTTCAACTCATCCCCATTGATTTATTGATGAAACTGGTCATTTGTCCTGTCAAGTTTCAGAGTCTGGATTTTGCTGATAGGATTCCTGAGGCATTTATTAAAATGTGCTGCTTTCTTTCTTTCTTTCTTTCTTTTTTAAAAATTTTCATTTAGCAATAATTTCACCTCGGATAAACCTCATTGGCTACGATACTGCCACTGTGCAAAGCTAAAATGTGCTTCTTTCTTTCTTTTTTTCTGCATTTGATAGTTGGATCTACATATACTAGATATATTTTTCCCAAAATCTACTTTGAAAGCAGTATTTTATTTTTCTAAAAGAGAATATATAATGTCTGGTTTTCTTTCTCCTTTTTTCATGTTGGTGGATATTGATGGTCAGTGTCTGGATCTAGCAATCATTAAGGGTTGCAAAATAATGATATTCTAATTTTTTTTTTTTTTTTTTTGAGATGGAGTTTAACTCTTGTTGCCCAGGCTGGAGTGCAGTGACACGATCTTGGCTCACTGCAAACTCTGGGTTGAACCTCCCGGGTTCAAGCAATTCTCCTGCCTTAGCCTCCCAAGTACCTGGGATTACAGGCCCCTGCCACCATGCCAGGCTAATTTTATGTGCATATATATTTGTACTTTAGGTTCTGGGGTACATGTGCAGATCATACAGGATTGTTGCATAGGTGCATACATGGCAAGGTGGTTTGCTGCCTTCCTCCCCCCATCACCTATATCTGGTATTTCTCCAACGTTATCCCTCCCCACCCTCCCCACCCCCCATTGTCCCTCTCCTAGTCCCCCCCAACTGACCACAGTGTGTGATACTCCCCTCCCTGTGTCCACGTGTTCTAATTGTTCAACACCTGCCTATGAGTGATACCATGTGGTGTTTGATTTTCTGTTCCTGTGTCAGTTTACTGAGAATGATGGCTTCCAGATTCATTCATGTCCCTATGAAGGACATGAACTCATCGTTTTTTATGGCTGCATAGTATTTCATGGTGTATATGTACCACATTTTCTTTATCCAGTCTATTGTTGATGGACAATTGGGTTGGTTCCAGGTCTTTGCTATTGTAAACAGTGCCGCAATGAACATACGTGTGCATGTGTCTTTATAGTAGAACAATTTATGATTCTTTGGGTGTATATGCAGTGATGGGATTGCTGGGTCAAATGGTATTTCTATTTCTAGGTCTTTGAGGAATCACCACATTGTCTTCCACAATGGTTGCCCTAATTTGCACTCTCACCAATAGTGTAAAAGTGTTCCTATTTCTCCACAACCTCTCCAGCATCTGTTGTCTCCAGATTTTTTAATGATCGCCATTTTAACTGGTCTGAGATGGTATTTCAATGTGGTTTTGATTTGCATTTCTCTAATGAACAGTGATGAAGAGCACTTTTTCCTATGTTTGTTGGCCTCATAGATGTCTTCTTTTGCAAAGTGTCCGTTCATATCCTTCACCCACTTTTGAATAGGCTTGTTTGTTTATTTCTTGTAAATCTGTTTTAGTTCTTTGTAGATTCTGGATATTAGCCCTTTGTCAGATGGATAGATTGCAAAATTTTTTTCCCATTC